CTCCGACGAAATTCACAAATATTACCAAAAAATTAGTATGAACGTATTCCGGCCGTTCAAGACGAAAAACCACGGCTGCGACTGCAACGCACGAAAAACAGAAGAACACTGACGCCTGACGGAAGCTTTTTAGAAACCGGACCTACGTGGCCCCTACACTCACCGTAATTTGGAATACGGCAAAGACTTCGGCCCCGGTGAGCCCATCAGCGCGTCGGAGCGAGTCACGTGACATATTATAGTCCAAGCGTCCCTGTCCCACGGAGAACGGTCACGTGTTACACACCACCCCTCTGATTTGCTAGAAGCGGCCTTCGCACTCGCTCACAGCCACACGAAGACACAAAAGAAGGTGTGGAGGCTTATCAGAAGACGAGGTCAAAGAGGGGTGGACAAAGCAGCTAATCTCCCTCTGCGGCTTTGTATAAGCCACCTGGGCTGCCCAAGGAGGGTCGCAAAATGGGACACGTCAGGACTTGCTTCACGCAGTGGCGTGCGTGCTCTGATGCCGACCGCGAAATCACGAAATAAATAACACAAAACAAATTCGAACGCATGAAACAAGAGATGCAATTTCACCCGTACGAAAAAAGAAAAAAAAAAGGAAAAAAAAGCGTCGGGAGGCTAGATATTTTGGAGTCAACTAAGGATCGCGTACTATAGCCGGGGTGTCATAAATTCGGCACTTTCGATTGTCTTGCGGAATTGTTTCGTTAGAACTACACACACAAATAAAATCTCAGTGAAGGTGCTATAAGTAGTGCGAGGGCCAGTCAGGTGAGTTTGTAATACACGAAATGAGGGCGCCACGGCCCATAGTTTCTTCAGTGGTTCAGCGCAGGAGGTCTTTCTCTGGTTAAAAGTAAGCAGATTCCGTTTTGCTTCATCTTGTTTTTCTTTTCTTTTTTGACGTCGGATTTTAGGCGGTTAAGAAATAGACATACCTCGCCGGCATAGGCCATTCATGCGGGAATCTTGACGCTCAACCAAAAACGGCATCGCCTACGGTATGTCAGGATGGCGTCGCCGCGACCCATCCTTTTTTTCACAGATATTGGCTGGACCAAAATGGTAACGGCGCAATTTTTCATATTTGATCCTATATCGGCGCCATGCTGTGTGCTGTTTGGGTTGTATATTGACACGTCTTCGTTCATCTTTTGCGAGTGGAGATGTTTTGTTTTTAAGTCGAAGTTGAACTGATGAAACTGACGCACACGCGACACGTAATTTTCGGCTCCTCTCGGACGAAGAGTTCGATCGGAGTTGCAAAAACTATACTCCATCAATTCCTAACCATACTCGACTTCGTGTAGCGATTAATTATACTGGATGTTTATACCGCCGTACATCAGCAACAGTTTCAGCGAAGCAATAAGCATTAACGGATATGAAATCATGGGTGTATTAGACTGGCATCACCATAACGCCCCTTTCACACCGTGTTAATACAGGGCGTATAATTCGCCCATACACCCTTTTTACACGATTTCAGACGCCATCGCAATAAGCGAGGTCGTAAAAAGGGTGTGGAAGGGATGAAAAACATCAGCACACCCTTTTTACACCTACCGATATTCAAATATCGTGTAAATGAAGTGTAAGAAGGGTGTTTTTCCTAACTTACACCCTTTTTACACGATTATGGGTGTTATAATGTTTAGTGTGGATCCAGCATCCAATCCAAAGCCGGACAAGGTGAGCGAACAGAAATGGCGAGCGGGACGTTGGCGTGGTTCGCGGCATGGTTCAGGTACGGTGGCTCCAGGGTTGAAAAATTGTATGTGACCGTGGTGGCGAGTGAAAGCGCTGCATGTAAATCTATGCGAGGCAGAAGTCGCTCGAAGTTACCGCCTGTGCTTTGATTTTGATGTTCGTGTTCTGTCGGTTTCGTCGTATGTAGGCCTAGTGAACCAACTTCCGCTCAACAACGCTTGCTGGTGGTTGACTCGACGGTGTTGACGGCCCTTCGCCGTATCCCGACGATCGTTTCGTCGGCATGTCCCGCAAGACGGAGTAGCCGTCAAGTAAGAGAAAGTACGAGCAGCAGGAAAGGGATGCGGCCGCGTATTATTTCGTAGTGGCGAGCGGCGGCACTTTTCTGTTTACGTTCGCGCACGTTTTTGCATCGGCTTCTGCCCGTTCGTAGTGTAGATGCCCTTTGCCTTTCGTTGCATCGCGCTGTTTCCACGCTTCGAGCGCACCTTCGGGGCTCCCGGCCGAGTATGGACGAGTGTCGCGCCGCTAGCCCGGCGAGACGGCGATCGGTCGGCGTTGCCTCCGTGCGTTGTTGTAAGCGTTGACGTAAAATTAAGGGGGGGGGGGGGGGGGATAGAGTCAATCGTGTACGCGCGCTAGGCGCATTTGTCAGTGACTTGGGGTAGGGTGAGGGGAGAAAAGTGAGGGAGAAGATAGAAGTAGGAGTCGGGCGTCAGGAGCGTCGTCTCACCGTCCCGCTAGCTCGTCATCCCATCGTCGCGCTTAATCCGTGAGTGAGTGTGAGTGAGTGTGTGTGTGTGTGTGTGTGTGTGTGTGTGTGTGTGTGTGTGTGTGTGTGCGCGCGCGCGCGTGCGCGTGTGTGTGTGTGTGGGGGGGGGGGGGGGGGGGGGGTTAGCTGGCACCGCGCGGTGTCCGGTGATCAAGGCGGTCTCCGGGGGCGACCGCGCCGTGTTGGTGGAGGCATGCTAGCTCGCTGAGACGCTGCTGGCGGGGCATCGGTTTGTGCCGTCCGCGAGACGCTTGTCCGTTATTTTATTTATCCTTGCATCAGGTTTTAGATTATGACGGTAACCTTGCATTGTTTGCCATACTTCGCAAAGTCGTAACAATTTTTCTGCAGGCGACTCCTAGAGCCGCTCGTCAAATTTTGCGGCACGCAATACAACTTCTTTTTTTTTTTTTTCGACACAACATTTTTTTTTGCGTTATAACCTAGCGGTATATCGAAACTTTCTGCTCGTAGCGCAATCACACCAATGCTGAAAAATTCCGCACGTACTGGCTAACCGTCATCATCGTAAGCTCGGCTCGTTTTTCCGAGTTCACATCTAACAAAACTAGGTTCCTTCTATGAAAATACGGTGTACCGTTAAATACCGGGCAAGCGCGCACTCAAACTTTGGAAATAATCGCAAAAAAATGGGGGATGGGTGCTTGTCCGGTCGTCAATTTTACATATAAATGTACTGTGCGTATTTCCTCAGATCTCACAAATTTGGTAATGGGTGCTTAATGTGGAATGGGCGGATGCGCGGTATTCTACGGTATGTCCAGGCAGTTAGCGGCATCCTATGCCTTGGTAAGCACAACCGCTACAACCGCGCGTTGTGAAGTCCACCACCGGCATGGCACAGGGCCCCGTCCTTACCTAGCGTGTTGTCTTATGCAAGGAATGTATACTTCGTTCGCCCCTAAGCTGAGACTAGAATCTCCGCCTTCAGTGCGAGCTCGCTGGCTTCTGCAGTGCTTTGGTTTTGCGTGCCTGCATGATCGCACTTGTGTTAGCAAGGGCAGAAAGCTTGCGTTGAAGGCGGAGCTTCTAGTCTCAGCTTAAAAATGAACGGAGTATAGTCGAAACGCCATTGCCATTGCTTGAAAAACTGGATGTAAATAAGCTATTTGCACGAAACCTCGGTATCACGAAACCATTGCAAGTAAAAAAGCTACAAAGCATGGTGTAAACAGACCTTTACGCGAAATGAGCACCGTTTTTCTCTTTTACTGCTACTTTTATTACTTGGCGTTACCGGAATGCGACGCCGTCGTGTTTCATTGTGGCCGTGCATGGGGACATAGCCATGGAGTTATAATATATGCTAAAGGTTGCGAAGACCTGACAGTGTGAAGTAACTTGAATGAACATCATGTCTGACCACGCCTTTTATTCTAGTGAGGAGGAGCACTGTTCATCGAAGAGAATGACGAAATAACGGTGGTGCCCGTCCCTCTGTTGTGGTTTGACGTGAGTATGAAACAACGGCGTGAGGCCAAGCAAAATGTTTGGGGCGGACATCTTGTCTCGTGTGCGAGCGTACCGAGCACCAGACCCTGACTGCCCAAGCAGCACAATTCCCTGGTTCAAGCTTGAGCCCGCTTGGGCAGCCGGGGAAAGTTTCCCCGGCCCAAGCACCATTTTGCTCCAAGGGGCAAGCTATCCCCAGCCTGGCTAGCCACCCTGGCAGTTCAGTGGGGGTTCCTTGTCTAGCCAAGCTTGGCTCTATGGCGTCTCTACAGCCAGGCCCAGGCTGGCAGTTCAGTGGTCAGCCAAGCTTGGCAAAACGGTCTGAACGCAGCCTGGGCCATGCTGGCAGTTCAGTGGTCAGTCAAGCTGGGCAAAACTGTGTAAATACGGACTGGGCCAGAGTGGCAGTTCAGCGGTCGGCCAAGCTTGGCCAAACGGAGTAAATACAACCTGGGCCACGATGGCATTTCAGCAGTCAGCCAAGCTTGGCAATACGGTGAAAATGTAGCTCGGGCCAGGGTGGCAGTTCAGTCGTCAGCCAATCTCAGCTGTACAGTAAAGCTCGGTCGATTTACCTGCACCGGTGCATAAAAGTGCAGGGTGGTGCTTTCAGTGGTATCTCAATACACACACCAGAAGCACTGCCCTACACTTTTCTGCACCAGTGCAAAAGGTGCAGGTAAATTGAACGAGCTTAGTATAAACACGGTCCATTGCCAAGGACCCATTTCACTTAGCTGTGAGCAAACCTTGCAACCATCCTGGGAGGCCCAATTTGTACCCTTTGATAAGCTTGCATTACATGAGTCTTTGCATCAAGAAATATGATAGTGGACAAAACCCATTTGCAATTACCTAGTTCAATTCGATTTTTCGCAATGTCCTCATGAGTTGCTAAATCGCAACAGAACAAAACAATTTAAAGTCTGCCATTTCAATTTTGCTACAAGTTTGTGGATGGAATGCACGAGAAAGAAGACTCAGAACAATGTTTTTTCTTTTATTTCTATATTTTCAATTTTCGTTTTTGTCCTTGACATCACGTCTGTGAGATGTCCAGGATGTCAGCGTTGACGTCAAAGTCGCCCTCTGGCAGGCTGCTGGGCAGGACAGTGACGAATTGGGCTGAGAGGATGGCCGCGTCTTGAATCTTCTTGGCCATCCTCTCAGCCCTGCCTCCCTCGCGATCCGGGGCCCCAGACAAGTAGTCGCCAATGGCACGCTCCACGTCGACCACGCTGCCTCCCACTCGGCTCCGGATTATAGCTGGAGAAAAAGAAAACAAAAAAACAGCAGAAGCGAATGTTATGCACGCCACAAAGCAAGTCACAAAATGCATTAGGGGCCTATAGAAACAGGGGGAAACTCTCGTGCAGTAATTTATTCCAAGTCGAGTTTAGGGCTGCCGAGAAAGAATTACCATATTTATTCTAAACAGGTTAACCATTTGCTGGAAACTGTTCTTTACCAGTAGGAGTTGATCTGTAATCATAACCAAACAAGGTCGACCTATAGACCAATGCACTGTTTTAAACAAGCCTGCATTTGGCCACATTAAATGTAGGCACTGTGCATGCGCGGAGATGAGCTTCCTGTGAGGTGAGGCGTTTGTGCACGCACCATTTTGACAACAGCGTCACTGCGGTGGCGTGGCATCAAAGCCATGTGTTCGTCTACAAAGGCCTGTTCACACATACATCACAGCACCAACTCAGTGAAAAGCACCGACTTTGCACATGACCAGTGGTGTCACAAGAGGGAAGGGTGGGGGAGGGGGGGGAGTGCACGAGACGAGTGGCTTGCATGCTTTCGCATTCACAACTCGCAAGTGGAAAAGGTGGGGGGGGGGGGGGGGCACCACCTTAGGTGCAGCGCTCGGGGGGGGGGGGTGTCATGGCGGGCCACGCAACCCTATAATGGCATCACTGCATATGACCCCACTTTTTCCTGCTCACACACAATTCAGAGCCAGCTTTAGGCATTGACAGCAGTGCTGAGTGTTATTTCAACACCAATATTAATCTGCTAACTAACCTAAGAATAAGCTAATGTATTCCCCGTTTGAGAGAACCCAGACGCTGCTCTCACCAGCCACTGCAAAGCAATGAAGCTTCATGCACGCGCACCATGGGCAGTGCATGATTATGAACTCTGAGCTCTATGTGAAATTAAATTTGTGCGACCAGGGGACCTAAGCCGCTGTGAATGACAGAAGAGAGCATGCGTGCTGGACAAAGAGATGAAGAGGCAAAATGAAAAAGAGGTGTAACAGTTGAAAAGGCAAACATAAGAAACAATTAAAACAGGTAACCCCATGAGAGTTCGACAGGACTGCAGTTCCCGACTGTAACAGCCGAAATAATTTTTAACTGGGAATGTATGAATGAGGCTCTACCGTATATACAAACAATACTTAAAATTGAAAGAATAAAATAAAATGTGGAGGACAAGCACAGGACAACCACATTCTTTCGTAATTGTCCTGTGTTTGTCCTTTGCGTGTTATTCTTTCAATCTTAAGTATAATTTTCAACTCAGTGCAATTTGTTTAGAGTCCCTGAAAGATTAAGTTTTTCATAATCCAGATTCCATAGCAATACCACTAACATGGTGCATTACTTGAAACATCAGCTCACCGCCTAAGATCACTAGCCAGAAGGGAAAAGCCTCGACTTGATTAGAAAATCAGGGGAAATGACTAACCATGATGATAAAGAAAGTGCTTGCTTTATAAACACTTATTCAGGAATTATATGAAAATACTCTTGCCACTTTACGCGCACGTTTACAAACCACAAATTTTGCTTAAAACTGATCCAGTAATTCTTCAGATTCTTGGCAGCTGACAAATTAAAAGAAAAAAGTTCCCATCATTTTTGATTAGCAATGAAGGTGTGGAATGAAAACACCTTACCAACGGCCACGGCACAGAGCTGCGTGCCCCTGAACGGCCGCTTGTTGCCCCTGCGGCCGCAGATGCTGAAGTGCATCTGCACCTGCTTCCGCAGGAGCCGCTCCAGGGTGCGCCGCACAGCCTCCGCGATAGTGTTGCCACCCAGGCCGGAGAGCTGCTCCTTCTACACGAATAAAAGAAAAAAATATTGCACTTTAAGAATCACAGTTCATTTAATATGAGTAAGATGAAAACTGACTATGGTATGGCATCCATCTCACCTAAGTGAAAAGGTAATGTGAAATTGCATTAACTCTGTTGACAGTATTTACTACACTATTATATAAAAGAGAGTACGGAAGATCTAATGAAAATAAACCCTGAAGAAGGGGAGCAAGGGAAAAAAAAGGACAAACACATATCTCGAAACACACCTAGCTGCATTTGGAGATTTGTGTTTGTCTTTTGTCGCCATACCTTTTCTCCAGAGTTACTACTGTTATTGTCCAGCTAGCTTCCACCTCTGCAATTATTGCATTATCATCATACTGAAGATCGATCCAGACTTTTACTGAAAGTAATTAATAGATCAGGTAATTGGCCCCTGCTGTTCTTGATGTTCTTGTTGCCTTCTTCCATTCATTTTATACTTTCCAGCGAGCACTGATTGCCCTTAATCATTCTATATGCCCCTGTTCTTGACTCAAAAGTATGTAGAGGTGTGAAAACAATAAGGCCATATCTTCAATCGTAATGCTGCCTTAATAAGTGGCTGTCTGTGACTAAATAGAGATAATGGTTAAGCTAACATTTTGGTAAAGTTTAGATACGAAGCAGTTGAACATATGCCGTCGCTCCATTTCTCAAACCGGTTGAGCCACAAGGCACTAACATATAGTGAAAAAAAGTTTGATATTCACCAGGACAGCCTGATCAGGGGGGTTGATGAGGCGCCTCTCTGCAGCCTCAAAATCTTCCATTGTCGCCAGCGGTAAAATAAAAACCGCTGGCGGCACTGGGGCATCAGGCGGGCAGTTCGCACGCTCAAGCTGAGCAATGCGCACTGCCAGCTGTTCCTGGTTTGCCAGGACCTGCGCCGTGTCCTGGCGGAGAAGGTGCACCTCGTGCCGCACATCCAGCACCACCTTCAGTAGCTCCGACTGGAAGGCTAAAATAGAGGCAAAGAAAATTCTTGTGGTCAGAGATCTACGAAGGAAACGTGCTGAAAACAACACTTCACCTAAGACGAAAAAGAAAAAAAACAATGATAAAAAAAATTATAGCTCAAAAAAATATTTCCAAGCCTTATGCAATTGATGGCAGCAAATGTAGGCCGTCCTGCCAGTGGATCTTTCATCGCACATATTGTTTACGTCCAAGCAATAAATTATATTTTGTTCCACCTTTCGAGAGACCAGAAACCTACAAATCATAGACGTGATTGTAGCTTCAAATTTAGCTACTTTAGAAATTCCAGCTCCAAATCTGTACCCGTTATCACCTCAAGGACCACAGTAAAAAAAAGTCCGGCTCCTAGCGGATCATTACTAATTTCCCCCTTTATGTAGAGAATTAAGATACATGCAGGCACATTTTACATCAAATATATATTATCTTATGGAGCCGTACACATTTCAAATGCCAAAAGCATTGCTGCCCCCTCTGACAACGAAATCGTATGAGAACTACTACTTGCAGCGTATGAGTAATGTGCAAAAGTTCATTTTTTTCTTAAGGTGAAAACGAGTATAGCTATATTTGAAAATGATATCCCCAAATTTAGCTACTCCCCCCCCCAACCACTCCCCTTGGCCAGTGACCATGGAAAGCAGGGTTTGGGGGGGAGGTGAGGTTTGAGGGCAGCACTGTTGAAGGCCTAGGGTGGCAAAATGTTAAGTTCACCTCTCGTCACAAGACTTTCGGAAGGGGCACAGCGTCACTGAAGGTGCGCAGCCTCATGATACGTTGTGGCACTGGACTGGTGATTATGGTTTATAGCATCTACTACTGTCTTGTGTAAGGTGAAATAGAGCATAGGAAACAGCCTCATCACTCCACTAGATTTCAACACAATAGGTAAGCTTCTTAAAACAAGCTAAACATTAGTCACTTTTCTTAATCAGGCACTAGTTTTTTTTTAGATATTTGAATAATAAAAATAAAACAGCTGTCACTGATAATAAAAATAAAACAGCTAGCTTGAACATGCAAATCAACCCAAGCTATAGGCACCAGGTTGCCCCACCTAGCCCAGAGTGGCGGAGGGGTTAAGGTCGCAGGTCTTTCTCCGCCACCACTACTGCCGGCTAAATGGTGCCACCTGCTGCCCTATGTGTGTGCTTACTTGCACAGTCACCGACATTTTTTACTGATGTAAGCGATTGCTGGCATCATGTGTACAAAGTCTGCTTTGGGGTCCCTCAAGGCACTGATACCGACGGACGTTGGGGTTCCTTAAGATACTGATATCAATGCCACTGATAAAGAGGTCGCAACCGTTGGACATATGGAAAACTATTTTATCTCAGAGTTGATGAAATGACATGTCGCAACTAGGATGCTTTCATGTACTATCGGGGAAAAATGAAATGCGAACAGAGGAGCGCGTGGCTCGCGGTACAGGCTGCGCCGCCTGGAAGTGAGCCTAGGAGCGAGGGTGCGTGGCCTACTCCGACGTGTTCACGCCCCTCCCTCTGTGCTCCTCAAGCTTCAGCAGTGCGCCTCTTAGTGCGCTGAAAGCTATCGCCGCTATCTTTGCTGGCTCAGCGCGAGCGGTGGAAAGAAGCTCGCCGCACTCGCCGAGCAGGCAAAGATAGCGGTGACGGCTTTCAGCGCACTGAGAGGCGCACTGCCGAAGCTGGGCGAGCGCCAATCGAGGGGCGTGAACACATCAAGTAGGCCACGCACCCTCGCCCCGAGGTTCACTTCCAGGCGGCGCAGCCTGTACCGCGAGCCACGCGCTCCTCTGTTCGCATTTCATTTTTCCCCGATAGTACACTTTGCTCAGGTTGGCAATACTTGCACTTTCATAACGATTTTGTTTATTTTTTGCTTCGGAGCATGAGAGGTCTTCAATTTGTGATTCTGGAGTATGATCGTTTGTATACGGAGTATTGCCATAACTGCAGACTTATGGCAAGGCCACGTCGAGGCATGTCCAACACTCCTGTTTTGGTGTAAGCACCGAGTGCCTGACTTGGGCCTCAAAACGTTTATTTAACAAGACCCCCACCGCTGCCACCTGTCGGTGCCACAGTGCAACTGCCATCATGACAAGCATCAATGTTCAAAAGGCAGAACTGGTCTCATACAAAGCTAGAAGTATGAACAGATAGGTTTCAAAGGTGCCCCTGCTGCACGAGGATTCATACAGCCAAGGCACATTTTCTAAAGCAAGAAGGCTTGCCATTCACGTTAAGGTTTCAAAGGTGCTTCTGCTGCACAAGGATTCATGCAGCCAAGGCCTATTTCTAAAGCAAGGGGACTTGCAATTCATGTTGAAGTGAGATTATGTAGATATCAGCAATGACCGGTTCATGTAAAGATGTCAAACATGTTGTTCTTAACAGGCAATCAAACATCTCATTCTTGAAATGTAAAACAGAGCATTACGAGTGATGGGCAGGTTTTGTTTTGGTGGTCGAACTATATCGAGAGTATGGGCATTTAATGCCATACTAAGGGCATTGGAAAAATGAAATGTACAGATGTGATTGTGCCAGTCTTCTAAACTTGGTCAGGTCAATATTAAGCAGTGATCGTAATGAAACATCTGGTATGCTTACGGGACATGGTAGCCTCAACCACCTGAGCTGCCTCAGCTGCCTCCAAATTCCGCCTCCTGGGGGCTTGCCGCTCTGCCAGGGCTGTGGTAAAGTATGTTTTAGTCTCAGATTAAGGTCTTTCAACTCGTCACACAAGTCATTCACACTTTTCAGCAACTACATATCAGCCATTTTGGCACAGCCAGTGTCCATCTCTGCCCAACATCTCAAGGGCAGTCAATGTCAAGAAATCTGACAGATACGCTTCAAATGCACACCTTTTTGGGAGGCAAAGTATGTTTGTCAGCTCCACTTCCAAAATGAGCATAAGGTGTCCAAAGCTTAAGCTTGGTGACTTCTTTTATAAACGGTTTTCGAGGCAAGCAAAAAATTTTATGAATGACCGGAGGCAGCAGATTGGAGGCGAGAGCAAATTTTCTGCAGTCTGCCAAAAAAATGTGCATGTGAAACGTGTCATCACAAATGCCGGTATAGACAGCCTTTTTTAAAGGGATGCTGAAATGAAAATTAAAATATACTTCCCACGTTAAGAAAGAAGTTAAATGTAATCACTGAAGTCAGCTAATGACAATCACACGTTAGTATTTTTAACAGATGGTTATATTTTTCGTTCCAAACAGCCAATTCCATCGAGAGCAGCTGTCGGAGAGCACTATGCTTCTTGAGAAAACCAGCACCTACAGCGCGCTCGTGATGTAAGGTTTAACTTCGCGGGCAAGGCTACAAGGAGGCTGGTGTGGTTGTGAACTGTGCCACTTGGTAGTGTCAACATGTTACAATCTGGCGGTTCAAGAGGCCCGCTTCCCGCAGAAGTTGAATAGGCACGGGAGAGAAGGGAAGTTCGGTTCCGCCAAGGGAGAGATGGGGAGTTCAGTTCCGCCAAGTTTAACAGTCTATGCACGCTCAGAGCTTAGCACAATACCTCTAGGGAGTGGCACTGCTCTTATGTGAAGTTTTACTTAACGTTCGGAAGCATCCACCAGGTGTAATCTGGTAATAAATTTTTTTTTTTTTTTTTCGTTTTAAAAAGTTTTTTGGCGTCAATTGAAACTAAAAATTGGCATCTTTGTGGTGTGGCCAAAATGTGCTTGGTATTTAAACCATAAAATAGACTAGGCATTTTGCTGCAGTACCCCTTTAAAGGGATGCTGAACCGAAATTTTGATTACACAAAACACGCGGTAAAAGTGTGCAATGGGATGCTACAAACACCAAAACACCACTCATACAGCGATATCTTGAACGGATGACCAAATTTTTCAAGAAAAGGAGGCGCATTTGAAAGAGATGATGTCGCCATGTTTCTCCGAGAAGGAGAGGGAACGGCCTCGCGTCTTCTCTGCCTCACAGCCTTGAGGGAGCGAAGCGGAGAGAGGAGGAAACTCGGTATAGTGATGTCACGCGCCTCGTCGGCCTAGTTCAATCTGGACCTCTTTTTCCAAAAATGCGGCTATCCATTCGAGATATCGCCTTACGAGTAGTGGTGTAGGGATTGTAGCGTCCCGCCTACATTTCCTGCATTGTTTTTTCTGAAATCCAAATTTCGGTTCACCATCCCTTTAAACTAATAACACTGGCTGTATCAGACGGTGGACAAGGGGAAACATCTCAGCTGTCTCATTTATGCTCATCAAATCATTAATTCCAACAGTTACAATTGTTACAAGAACCTTACATGCAGAGTGAAAGAGGTATAGCAGCTCAAGAGTGAAGCCACTGATCTCTGACAATTTGCTGGATCGCGCATCCCCGCTTGGTTGCTGTAGCACAAATGCGGCCACCGCACAGTCACCTTGCCACAAAAAATCTACCTTTCAGAGCGCAGCTAGGATGGGCGGCAGCGTGCTGAAGACACGTTTTCTGCTTACTTATTGTCATTTGTCGTAGAGGTTGTTTAAAACCTGGCGTAAATGGTGACCTTCGTTGGCCTTCGAGAACATGAGCAAATTTGTACAAAAGTCCAGCACCAGAGGAGAAAAGCACAACTCCTTGAAAGCAAGTCTAGCCGGTCTAGCGGCATGATAGAAATTTCCTTGGTATGCCAAACTGCTGCATCTCTGTGCCTTCACACACGTGGATAGCGATCAAGAATCGACGCCGTGTTGATGTGTTTTGCATGTGCAACGTGCGTGAAAATCTATGTGCCTCTGGAGCAGCGTTTTACTTTACTGTGGTGACTGTAGTGTCGAGACCGGTTATAACAAAATAGCGGCTACATCAAAGCAATCTCGATTTCCCATTCCCTTTCACACTTCGTTAACCAAAGTCAGTTATAACGAAATAGCGGATACAGCGAAGTGATTTTCGATTCCCGTTGACTTCGTTATAACCGGTCTCGGCGGCATTGTAAATTGCGGCGTTCGTGGTCCAGATAAGTCTGATGCAGTGGCGACGGACGAGGGGGGGCGGCAGCGGTGGTTGAAGGGAGGCTTTCTTGTGGGCACTTACCGAGGTGGTGGAATTCATGAGTAATCGCATGAGGTTACGATAGAGCAGTTTGCAGTAAGTATATATGCAATTATTTTTATAAACAAAATAAAGTGTGCTATTTGAGGCATTCAGCAGTTCCAATGAACGCAACACTTTATGCTTGTTATATAATGAAGCACATAAAAAAATTTTCCGGGTTAGACTCTTTACTGACCCATGAAAATTACAGTATGAATGTTACTGGATCTTATGATTAGGCCTGCGCTGTGCTCTATAAACCGCCTTGCCTGGCGGTGAAGTCTGATCTTTGAGTAGCACCAAGCTGTTAGCTTGACCGGTATCCAAGGATGCGAAGGCACAGAGATGCAGCACTTCGGCGTGCCAAGGAAGCTTTGATCACGTTGCGACACCGACAAGACTTGCACTTGGCGAGTTGTGCCTTTTTCCTGCAGTGCTGTACTTTCGTAAAACTTTCCACGCGTTCTTAAAGGTAATTGTCAACGGTTACACCAGGTTTTCAAAAAATTCTCCGGCAAATGATAACGAACGAGCAGAAACATATCTTCAGCACGCTACCGCCCAGCCTCGCTGCGCTCCAAAAGGTTGATTACCTGTGGCACGATGGCCAACCGGTGGCCGCATTCGAATAGCGGGGAAGCGCAATCCAGCAATTATCGTAGAGATCAGTGAGCGAAGCGGATTAATGCTAACCACAGTTTGTTGAACATTTAAAAAATAGCTGATAACCTTGTATGTGATATCTCTAGAAATACAAACAAGCGGGTTAAATATACAACTTTCCTATGTCAGTCTAGATTATCTGTGAATCATTGGAAAGAGCCGACTGTGAAACTTACGAGATGTAGGAGCCCGACTTTCTTTGGACCACCCCTTACTGGATAAAGGGTCTGGGGCCCTGCGCTTGGGAGGGGCTGGAGAAAAGTATCACAATTTACTTTCCACATGGGCAATTATGGCTTGGCCAGAGTGCCCCTTTTCTTTCTAAAATCTTAGACAACTTTTATCTACTCGTTTAGAATGCAATGCATGCAAAAGGCATGAACCCCCCCCCCCTTTTTTTTCTTGCTGCCATACTGCCAAAATGGAACATCAGAAAGGTTTAGGCGTGATTTTAAAACAAACTCTCTTTAATTTCATAAATTATTGTTTGCTTATATTCACATAAAAGAGGAATTTTGTATCCACGAGCATCTTTCAAATAACAAAATCTTAAAATCCCAATTCAAATTAACTGTTTTCTAAAGTCAAATGGAGGAATCACTTTTTACAGTTCTAGATAGGTTTGAACCTTCATGAATAACGTGTAGATTCTCATGTGTAAAACATGTGGAAATAAAGCAAGGACACTTACCCCTTGCACAGGCACCTCCCAGGCCAGTAGCTGCAAAATCAATGTCAAGTGTAAATACATTGTCAGTGTCTCTCGCAAGGTAAAAAAAAGATGAAATATATTTTTCTTTACTGTAGGCTAACTCACGTGGAATGGGCACTGAGAGACGCACAGGAGCGTCCGCCGTGTTGTCTCTCCCAGTGGCTAGAACAGACATATTATCAGAATAAAATTAGGTTAAACAAAGAACCATTTCTTCTGCTGAAAATGTTAAATTGCTATGATCAACATACCTCCATCATCGGGCTCCCCGACATCTGTGCTTTCCAAGCACGAGTTCTCCAGCCCCTCGGTGGCCTTCCTTTTGGCCTTCTTGTATGTTTCTTTAAGAGAAAGCAAATTGATACAGACCCACTAATTATTTAGCTCGTGCAAAACCTGGTTTACAATACTGCAATGCCAACCCATAACAGAGCAAAAAATCACTAAAACCAATTTACAATTTTCTAGATATGGTTCCTTTCACAGCTTACAATACCAAAAGGATATATTATTGTAGTGTTCTGCCGGGAAACCGGCATTTGGGGGCAATGCCTGATAGCAGCACTCTTTCAAGATCAGCATTTGTAAAGGCTTCAAATACTTTTTTTTTTATGTACAGCACAGTGTGGTGTCTGCTGCTAGCATGAGAAGCGCACTGTTGCTTGCATCATTCTGAAATTTAATGCAAAGGCCCCATATGCAGTCATGGTCAGAAGAAATGCAAAACATCTGCAGCTGCACAATCAGTTGTCGCGATTCCACAAACATCTACACAGAGCAAAATTAACTTTGGCTCAAAAAGCAGCAATGCCGAGAGAATAAACACCCATGACTGAAGCACTTAGTAGTGTATTGGGGTTTATGTGTTGAGAAAATGACTGAGAGAATAAGACGAGAGCTCACAGGGACGTCGGAACACCGAACTCTGGTTGGAATGATTAGTGGTAGAAATAAAGCTAGCTGTTTTTATCTCCACTGCACTCATCAAACGTGTTTGAATTTGAAAGCCCAATGCCGGACGCTGGCATTCCCATTCTGATGTGTTCGACGAGTGCAGTTGAGACAAAGATAGCTAGCTTTAGACCTACGCATCAATCATTCCAACCAGAGTTCAGCGTTTTGACATCCCCATCCAACCTCGTCTTCTCCTCTCACTCAGGTTTTCGCCGCATAAGGTGACACTTTCATTTGTAGGGCGAGTGCAACTTTGAAATGGCGTGCACTAGGAGCAGCCGAAGCAACTTTAGCTGCTGCTTGCGAGCTTCAAATCTGTCCATTGTATGTAAAGCCCCATTCACGCACTTGCATTTGACTACGAATGAATGAGACACGATCAGCTTTTAGCCTCTTGCGACTGCCTACGACCGGCTGCCATTGCTAGACTGCTGGTCATAGGCCTTCGCAAGAAGCTTAAAAAATCAGTCTTGTCTCAGTCGGTCCTAGTCAAATGCATCTGTGTGTTAACGGGTTTTCATAAGACCTATAAGGCGGAACATGTAAATGTGTGTCACTCAATACAGACATGGCAACCTAGCAAGTGCTACGCTCCCTTTCGTGCGTGTGCAGTGCAAGACTACGGCTTTTTGAAGAACAGAGATACTCCAGGCTCACGCTCGTTTCCTACACTGGCTGCTGACAGTGCTATGGCAACTGTGAGGGAAAACGTGCACGTAAAAGCTCTGCTCTATTGCCACATGATACATATTTTTGACTATGAAATTTCAATTGCAATCATACTCCCAGAGAGCTCGCATTTCATTACCAGTCAAGTTTCTGATGCTGCTGTCAGGTTCGATGGGCTAGCTCAACACCATCTAAAATAATCAAAGCACCTGCACTAGCATTTCGCAGTCATCACAGTGAGATCGAGCACTGAAACAGATCAAGTGCTGCATCTTTCATGTCATTGTGATAATGCTCCGAGCTACTCTTTCCTTTCTGTTATCACAAGTCATATGATTTGTTTCATCTGTCTATATTTATGGTAGCACCAATAAATGGGGGATTCTTGGTCACTCCCGAATGGCTCTCTGGTTGTCTGACCTGTCTGAGACGTCATCTTTGATCGTGTCTGCGGGTTTGTCGGGCTGTGAAGGCTCTGGTGCTGGACGAGGATTCCAGTCTACGTCCGGCAGTAAGACCAGGGACGTAGTCCCTGGTCTTACTGCCGGACGTAGACTGGAATCAGCAGTCATATGATCAATTAGTGAAAATTACTCAAAGCAGTCATATGATCAATTAGTGAAAAGACGGTGAGAGAGCACGTGAGCTGGTGGTAGCTAATCATGTCGTATTGCACCTGAGACTGCGGTGGAAGAAATCGGAAGAACTTTCAGTAGAAGGAACGTTCTCTGTGTCTGTTTGAGACGTTCTCTCTGATTGAGACGTTCTCTGTGTCTGTTCCTTCTACTGAAAGTTCTTCCGATTTCTTCCACCGCAGTCTCAGGTGCAATACGACATGATATGATCAATACAAGCTTGCCGTCGTCTGTCAACAAACCATTGGAATGCTACGTTTTTGGCGTCGATGTGTGTCCCCATGCTCTATTCTATGTTGCAATTTTTGCTTCTATATCCTCCTGGCAGAGTCAGACTACTTTAGCAGCCTAAGCAAAATTAACTAGGCTTGTTTCACTGCATGTGGCGATTCATTCCGCGTAGACGCCGCAGAATGGACGCTAAAGCCTGATTCGCAGGATGAGATTCTGCTTGCTATTTTCAGTCATTATGTCGCTCCAGCTGCAAAAGCATGAACTGTAGCGGAGATGGTTGACGTTGATACGAAAAATTGCAAGCAGAATCAGTCCAAGTGAATGAGACATAACAAGTCGGTGATGGCAACTAGTAACAATTATCAACATCTTGTATCTACTGTTTACACTGAGCCTGCTTACCTTGACCAACCTTCAAAATTAAAGGTCTTTTGAAGGCCTGCGCTTACTCCATATTGCAATTACCAGGTCAATGTTTTCGCTACGGGCCGCTGTCGTTTGAACGAGCAGGAACGTTTGGAAGAGCAGACAACGGTTTGAACGATCAGGCAGCCGTCCGAACTTGAAGACACACTAAACATAGTCCGCGGGTGGTCCAAACAACTTGGCCGTTTTTTTCACATTCATGTTGGAACAAAACAAATGAATTCGATGGCCATAAGTATCCGCGAATTCAACTCAAAGTGCTTTCTGTACAAGCAATCGTGGTCCAATGCCATCTGGTTTTCCTTTTCACTAGCCCTGTCCATGTTTTTGGATGAACCAAGCAGGCAGAAAACTCATGAATATTGATCTTCAAACCTTTCGCAACTGTTTTGGTACAGCCTCAGTTGCTGCATTTTGACGAGAAGGCAAGTTTTTGCCTGGTTTCTTCTAAAACAACACAGGCATGCACGCCTTGCATGGTGACTTCCACCCACAGCCCCAGACCGGAAGTGTGCCTGACGCACCACCACCGCACCATGACATAACAGAGCTGAATTTGTGTATATATATAGACAAAGTTTTCGGGATCGAATTGGGTAAATACTAGATAAACCTTTGTCTTATTAATGTGGCCAGCTTACATTATGGACAATCTTAGGAAGGAACGGAGGTGTCCATATTAACGAGGCATCCCTGTATGTGCAAACTACACTCTCAGTCCAAATCTAAACATTGTTTACCTTTAGATATACTACATGATCATATCAATGACTAATGCCCCTAGGTATGTGCAAAGATTTCACAACTTGAAGCCACGAGGATATCATACAAACACCACTTACTGCAATAGGAGAACACCCGCACAGGGTGGAGGGGCCACTCCTCTTCATTCCCAGGTGGGGCCTGAGACTGGGCCAGTTTTATCACTGATGCCGGTGGAACGTTTTTTGGCCAAGAACACATCGTCTTGTCAGCATCGAGCCAGGCCGTCGGAACAGCGGCCACGCTGTCATCCCCGACAAACTCAACCGCACAAAAAGGGCGGTTTTCCTTTCTGTAATGAATATAACATTTTCGTTACTGCAAGGCAAAGCCACAGCTGATTAGCAGTGGGTAATAATTCAAGATTAGGGCCGTGCTGCTGAGAAAGGGAGGATGGGCCTAAGAGGACACGGAATAAGTTGATGAGGGCTCACTCGCGTGGAACTGAAGATGGACGGTTTCTGCGGCCCAGCAGACCCGCCAATAATGAAAGACGTCCGACTCCGTCAAAGGTTTGAGCATGACTGACCTATGATCACGGGCAAGCGCTCGCAATGCACGGGCTCAAGTGCAAGCCCGTGTAAGTGGCACACCGAGTTCGTGGTGTGCCGCACTATTTATTTTTAAATACTGCACAATGTACCTTGGGTTTAACAAAGCGACTAAGAATGAGATAGAGTTCCTGAGGGCCGGCAATCAGAGCATTTTATTGGGGAAAAAAAATGAGAGAAAAATCAGATTTCTTTTCTTACCTATGCCTGTTAAATGAAATGTCACAAATGTTTTTGTTTTTTTCCTAAATTCACACAAAAAGGTGTGCATACTGACCCAAAAAAAGAGAAGAGTTTCATATTTTTGTTGTAACTTACGATTAAATTAAGTTTGCTATTTGATATTAAAAAAAATGCATTAATTTACTGATCTCTATGACAATTGTTAGATCACGTTTCTCCACTCCGCGAATGCAGCCACCAGACGGCCATCATGTACCAACGGGATGTTGACCAGTTAAAGCGTTTTAAAGGGATACTTCAACGAAATTTGAAATATACCCGTCGTGTTCACAAATAGGCTGAATATGATCCACAATATCCGTAAATGACAATAAAACGTCTGTATTTTGAGCCTGATGGCTGTGTTTTTCGTTATAAACGGCCCACTCTGGCAAGTGCTCGGAGAGCAGCCAGCGGAGAGCACATGGCCTCCGCCGCAATCGTGACGTAGTTTGTCTCGAGATGAGCAAAGCTGCGTCAAGGCTGACATCGAGAAGATGTCCTAGACGTTCCAGCCACGGAGGCGGCTGCTTTTATACGAATTTTGAGTGACGGGTTAATCTTCTATAATCTTGTAGAGGAACAATAGCGGCATTTTGGGACACACAAAATATATTCTCGGGGAGGCGTTAGCAGCAGCCACCGGGTGCTCTTTGCTAATCGTTTAACTCGTTTTCAAATTCCTTTTGTGTCTTTTTCAACAAGAGATTGGTGCGTCTGAT